GGGAGGCGGGGGGGGGGGGGGGAAGGAGGAGGGGAAGGGGATGGAGAGGTGGGCGGAAGCAAGGATCATTGGAGTGATGTGGAGAAAGAATTTAATTCAAGAAATATTTCTATATAAAATTATACATTCGAAAGTTAAACACGAGGAGGAGACTGACGTGGCATGAACGCATGACACCCCTATTACCATCGTGAAGTTCCCCCAAACACAACCTCTCCCCCCCCTTCCCCCCCCCAACACAACGCACCCTCAAAATACGATTGCAATTTGCATCCAACCGGAGAGAGGTCTTTTTCTATACAATGTCATTCGGAATCAGGGTGCCCCCTACACTAGCATTGCAGGGTGTGTGTTGTTTAAAAAAAAAAAAAAAAAAAAAAAAAAAAAAAAAAAAAAAAAAAAGATGCCCCCTATGTTGGGGGGAGGACGGTTGTCCATTAGCAGAAGGGTTAACTGTTTATCGGATCGGATTGGATGGGATTCTGATATGCAGCGAGTCTTTCAAGTTTCAATGCAACTTGAGCAAATCAGGTGGGTGGAACTCAGTCCTTTCTTTGTATAGTAGTTTCAATGCAAATGGGATCATAGCGAATGAGGTTGGTCTGAAGGAGGTAAGTAGTACAAAAAAAAAAAAAAAAAAAAAAAAAAAAAACGATACAAAGGATAGAAAGAACCTTTAGGGCTTTCTAGAAAATTAATGAAAAACAATTGAAATGCACATCAGGCTGGTTGGTTGGTTGGTTGGTGTGGAGAGAAGGAGGAGAGGGAGACTTCAAAGTTGAAGGACAGAGTAGAAGCAAAATTATAGGTGTTGAGGTCACAAAAGGGGTGAATACTGTGAAGGATAGATGGAGTATAGGATTTTTTTGATCAAATGTACATACAACAGCCATCATTCTTCCCCCTCCTCTTCCCTCTTTTTTTTTTTTTTTTTTTTTTTCCCCTTCCCCCAAAGACTCCCCGTGCCCTTCTCTAGTTGGCTAATAGGGTAGTAGTACTACTATGCTGCGCTACGCTGATTGCTTGATCATGGCCTCAGGCTTGCTTAACCAGAAAATTTGGAGACCACGTCATTCAATAATGGGACAGCCTCGCCGTACAGCTTCAACGCCTTGTCCAAGTTCTTCGAGCGCGCCGCATAATCGAGCTGAAAATATAGGATACGTCACCACCACCACCACCATAACCACACCATAACAACAAGAACAAACAACAAGAACGGAAAAAAAGAAAAGAAGCTTGGATCAGTCAGGACAATACTAGTGAAGCATGATGACATTGGCCAGGGAAAAAAAAAAAAAAAAAAAAGACCAGCAGTGCTCCTTTTTT